AATAAATAAATAAATAAATAAAATCTTTAGAAAATATATTTAAATTGTTAAGCTTTTAAAAATAACTTTTTAGGGATGACTGGGTGGTGTAGTCAGTTAAGCATGTGTCTCTTGGTTTGGGCTCAGGTCGTGACCTCAGGCTTGTAAGATTAAGCCCCACCTCTGGCTCCATACTCAACTTGGAGTCTGCTTGGGATTCTCTTTCCCTATCTCTCTGCCTCTCCCACTCATGCTCTCTGTCTCTCAAATAAAGAAATAAATCCTTAAAAAAATAACTTTTTAGAAATGTCCTCTTTCATCTCAAGCTCAACATCAAAGTCAAAGCTCTTTACCATTTCTTCCAAACACTCCAACCTTCTCTCACTTCTCTGCTACTTTGTAGCAGGAAACTTAGTGTCCAGTGGACTCTCTAGGATGGAAGGAAGAGGTCAGCTGACTGGGGGTGCAAGGAGCCCCTTGCTGTTCTCAACCCCATCAATGGCTGAACTCATGACCTTTCCCAGCTTCTAGCACCTGGAGCATACATAGCACTATTGGTCAGGGGTGGAGGTTGGGGGAGAGGGGAGGGAAAGCCCACCATAGGGAGAAGCAAATTTCTGGAAAAAGTACAAAATCCCTGAATTATGCCAGTGATGTGTTCCAAATCTATTTTGTTTTTCAAACCTATTGTCTGTTTTCAACAAATCCAATTGGGTTCTGAATTTCTTATCCATACATAAGTCCTAAAGCTTAGACTTCTGATATGGAGCTCATATCTAACTTGATACTCTTCTTGGGAAACTTGCTTGGCAATTGGGGAACTTTTGATCACTGTGACATAGGTAGAAATGATTGCAGGGTTTTTGAAATTCATGGGTAAGAGTTAAATGTGTAGTATGACTTTTCCATCAAGTAACAATTTACCTGAGTTTCTAATAATCAGCAAATCTGATCCAAGTATTTCTATACTGTCAACCATATATAAGGAGAGATTCTTACTAACTAGTTCTTTCTAATCTGGGTTTTTGGGGCCCTAGAGTTGATAAAATTAGTGAAATCATCAAAAGAAAATAGCAGGGTTTAGGTAATACACAAACTGAGTTATTCTAGACTGTGAATTGTCATAGAGGATATAAAAAACACCTTTTCAGTACTGTGATATAGGGAGACTTTTAATATAAGTCTCTGTGAACCAAGAGGGAATGAGTTATTTTCACTGCTCCTTAAGGATTTCCTTGCAATATTTGAAAGTTCTTTATTTACACCTCTATGGAGTTTGTTTCATATGTTATGAAACCATTATAGAATTCAGAAAATAAAACCGAATAAACTATTTGCAGATAGAATTAGAACTAGTGACATGTATAAGGCTTGAACAAGTGGACTTGGCTTTTCCTTCCTCTGAGACCCCTGAAAAGCATTTGAGAATTAAACATGCAGTCCTAGACCTCATTATCACCACCCTGAAAGCAGTCTGTTTTTGTGTTGCAGGCAATGAAAGCTTAGAAGAAAACTATGTCCAGGACAGTAAGATGGGGTTTGTCATCAATGCCATCTATGCCATGGCTCACGGGCTGCAGAACATGCACCACGCCCTCTGCCCAGGCCATGTGGGCCTCTGTGATGCCATGAAGCCCATCGACGGCAGCAAACTCCTGGACTTCCTTATCAAGTCCACGTTCATCGGTGTGTCTGGAGAGGAGGTGTGGTTTGATGAGAAAGGGGATGCTCCTGGAAGGTAAAGCAGTCTTTTCTGTAATGGTTTGAATAACCTTGTGATCCTCTTAGCTAGACAGATGGCAACTCTGGCCCCTTTGGTTTCATGGTTTCCAGGGGTCATAAGGATAGATACAACTAGAAAGGTCAAAAGATAGGGCTAATCTTAGATGGAAATTATGTTATAAAACATTGAAAACTTATTGGTAAGCACTCACAATTCTGTATTCTCCCAATGCCAACCCCCTACCCAGCTATTACCCTGGCCCTTCTCTCAGAATGCATGGGACCTCCTACAAGCCCAAGAAAAGGATAAGATTACACCTGAGCAGCAGGCCCCTCCCTGGCAGTTCCAGCACCAGACCAGCATCTTTCTGATCGATTGGTCCCAAGGCCATCCTGGTTGTGTAATGTTTTAATAGAAGCTTAATAATCGGGCACCTGGGTGGCTCAGTCCATTACATGTCTGCCTTTGGCTCATGTCCTGATCCTGGGGTCCTGGGATCCAGTCTGGCATCGGACTCCCTGCTCAGCGGGGAGTCTGCTTCTCCCTCTCCCTCTGCTCCTCCCCTCCCTGCTTGTGTTCTCTCTCTCTCTGTCAAATAAATAAATAAATAAATCTTTAAAAAAAAAGAGCTTAATATATGAAGAGAACCATGTCCTCCTTGTGTATCCCCTTTCCTTGAGCTAACTTATGTTCCTACTAACATGTCTCTTGAAACAAAAAAGAAAAGAATTTTCTTTCTGGTATCAAGTCTCTATGGCTTCCAAAGAATTAATCAGGAGGCAAAGAAAAATTAAACCTAACAAATATATATGTTTTTCCCCAAGTCATTTTATATACAGTCTGTTCTGCAACTGCTGCTTTTATAATATCAGTTAGCTCACATGTGATTGGTAGAGAATGATGTCAGTTTAAAGAGCAGTTGTCTTGGTTCATATGAAATTTTCTAGGCAAGGGATAATCAGAATCGTGGGAAAAGATTAAAGTCTGCTGCAGGAAAGAAAAAGGCCCTCAGCTTGGCTGCTATTCAGTATGCCCACAATCTTGGTTTTTTTTTTTTTTTTCTTCTCTTAAGCCCTGTTATCCTTCAGTATATGATTTTACAGAATGAGAAATTTTAGGAAAGCATATGTTGTGTTAAAATGGAACATCAAATCATTTAATCCTCATTGCTATAGGCATATCATTATCCTCTTTTACAGATGATAAACTGAGTGTCAGAGAAACTAAGAAACTCACCTAAATTCATGCAGTGAGTATCTGGTAGATGCAGTGCTGTCTGAGTCTGACACTTATAATTTTTTTGCCACATCATGCTGCCTTTTAGCTAATCCTAAAATTAGGCAAAGATGCTGGCAGCCTGCTTAATGTCATTTCAAAGACATGTTAGAGACTATCTGACCCTAAGTAATTCCCAACATATCTCTTCCTTTCATGTGAGCTTAAAGTTCTATGTTCAGACAGTGCTCAGACAATATTCAAATAATGATGAATTTATCAGATTCCTTCCAGGCTACCAGTTAGGTAGGAGGAGATGTAGATCCAAATGTGAGTGGGGTGGATGGAATGATTTAGGGCCTGGGGATGTGGAAAGCTTCCAGGTGCCCTCTGGGAAGGGCACTCTGGGAAACAGTACCAGAAGGAACAAATGGACCTGAGATTCAGAACACTGAGCACTCTCTCCTTCAAGCCCGTGGTTGTCATCCTGGGTTCCACTGGAAACTAGGCTCCATAAACTGTTAGATTTGGAATGGAAACCTACCTTCATGATTCTCTAAGATGACGTACACAGTGTGCCCAGTACAGGACCAGATGCATTTTAGACACTCCATATGTACGAGTTTCCTCCTGCTCTCTTTATTTGTAAGTTACCCAAAATATAGGCATGCAGTTTTAGCTTGTTTTTCCTCCATGTGTAATTACATGTTCAAATCATGAGCTTTCCCCTGGGTTCCTTTTCAAGGATCACTTCCTCATGCTTGAAATTGGTCAGCTTAATCTGTGTTCAGTTTCTGTTTAACCACCTCCCTCTGCTTCCATCCCCCCTCATACCACCATTCACCCTCTTGTAATTATTCTGGTTAATCATCATGCAACATAAATTGAGTGCATCCAGAGGATGCTATAAAACTGTAATTTACAGCATGAGGATATTCCAAATGAATGCCAACGTGCCGGGAAGGGACTCAGGTCAAGAGAAAAGAGCCGTGTTCATTAACACACATAGCACAGGGGAAAGCCTCTGTTTAGTGTCTCAGTTGTTTTCCCTTGGTATCTTTCAGTATTTTTGTCCTCTGGCTTTTGGAACTTTTTGAAAATGTGTTTTCGTGCCAAAATATTATGAATTTTTCAGTTTCTAAATGCTAATGAAGTGTGAACTGATTTCTCCTATTGAAGAGCAAACGAGGATTGAAATAAGTCTTAGGAAACTTGATGTGGTTTTGGAATATAAGTGAGGTTCAGTGGGGTGGAGTCCTGAGCCAATGACCAAGAAAGAATTCTTGAGACATCTTTGGTGCAAAATGGTGGTTTATTAAAGCACAGGGATAGGACCCGTGGGCAGAAAGAGCTGCCACAGCAGGGTTGTGAGGGGTGGCTGATTATATACTATGGAATTGGGGGAGGAAAGGGAAAGGGAGATTTCAAAAGGATTTTCATATGTTAAAGAAGACTCACAGGATACCTCAGGCCTTGCCATTGTCAAGTTAAGGTTGTTTTTCCCTCTAGCAAGGCATTAACATTAAGATAGTTGGGAGCTTCCTGGAGGAACATTATACTCTGCCCACTTCAAGTATCTGTCAATGGGCTGCAGGTTATAAGGACATTTAATTGTATGTACATTTCCTTCTGGAAGCTAGGTTATTGATAGAAATGCCTTGTTCTTATAGATTGCTAAGACATTTGTAAACTGAGGGAGACTCATGCCTTGCAGGATTGTGATCTCTACAAGTTAACTATTTGTTTTTCCTTAGCTTTAGGGTATCCAGGAGTGCATGAGGAAAGTCACATATATCCCATCTGAGGGGGTTGGTTTGTAGGGTGTTGGCTTCTGCTTTGTCCTCAGCTTGCCTTCTGTTTCCTCATCAAACTGATTTATAGGAAAAAGATAACCTAAAGCTAGCATTGCCCCAAAGTCTTCATTGAAAGTATGTAAGGAGAGTCAATAACAATATGGGGTAAAACATAAAAATTAAAGGAAATGAAAAAGGAAACTATTCACCAAACATTCACAACAGGTTCTATAACCATGAGTTTAAAATGGAAAAATATTGGAGGTGTAGATTAGCATCATTGGTCAGCAAGATGAGTAGGAACATCAGCCCACAGTTAATAGCTACTTGGATATCCCTCAGAGAGCTACTCTGAAGAACATGCTGGGATGACTCCACAACAAGAAGAATGAGAACCTTTATTTATTAGCCAAAAGTCAGAACAGCAAAGAGATGAGTAATGTGCTCTAGGCGTGCCATTTTCTCTTCTCATCTGGTAGGTTCCTTTTTCCTGGAAAAGTAGGGGAAAGAAGACTTCCTTTCTTCTCCCAGAGTGCCCTTTCCCTTTAGAAAAATTGCCAGAATGTGGATGTGGAGAAGCCACTAGCTACTCTGTGGGTGGCAGAATTCATTTGCATTCAGAACAGACAGAAAAGCCAACAAAGGATATTAGTTGTCTAGATAAAGAACTAAGCCAGATATGGGCAATAGGTTTTGGATGCCAACTAAGGTTGATAATAGCTTCCTGGAGTGCTGGGCTGAGCAGGACTCTGAGTGTGAATCGGGTTTAGAGAGAAAGAATTGCAAAATGAATTAGGTAAGGGTGTTGGGGTTGAGAAGTGAGGAAGAGGAATACATGTTAGGTAATTGCCATCTATTTCTTCAGGTCAGGCACAAAAAGCAAGAGACCATGCCTCTTATATTCTAGTGCAGGACAGTGAGAACTGCACAGGTACTGCAGCAAAAAGAATCCCATTTTGCAGAACCCGTAAGGGGCAATCAGGAATACATTTTTGGGAAACTGCCACATGAGTTATAGCTTACTTGGAGTTAATAGCAACATGGAGAAGAGACTGAAGAATGCCAGAGGATTTCCAATGGCTGAGAGAGAGACAGCTTTTGTTCTCCAGTTTTCTTCTGGTAGTGAAAATAACCAGAGTATGTTAGGGCATTCATAGTAATACAAATATGAATGATGTAGTGATATTGCCTTACATATGCATTTGTCCCAATTGTGAAATCGTTTTTTTACATGACTTATATTAATTAATCCCCACAAGAACCCCGTGAACCTTTAAGAGTTTAGTGACATTCCTAAGTAGCATAATCTACTGCTAAAATGTTAGATAAGAGATTCTAGCTTATGCATTCTAATGTCAAGTCCTGTGTTCTTTTCATCGCTTTGGAGAATGTTCTCCATTGCCCACATTGAAAAATGATGAGGTCTGTCCCCCAGAGCACACTTGAGCTGCAGTGAGGATTTCAAAATGTAGATTTTGCCATAGTGTAGTATTGCAGCATTTGAAATTACTGGAATATCTGACACTGATTATTTAGATTCAGAAATGTTTGTCCTAATCAAGGAAGAGACCAGTTTAAATGTCAGTGCTCAAGATGTTAAATCCCCAACATCCTTGTTAATTAAAGCTGTGTTTCTCAGATTTCTTGCTTTATTAGCACCTAAAATAGGTTCCAGACTTGGTAAAACTCACTTCTTTTAATCCAGCGTAATGAAAATGACAACTGATTGTGAAAAAGGACATTAGAATGAAATTAATCAAGTTAAGAAATTAATGCTCTCAAGAATCATGACTTAGTGAATAATGATTTGAAGGAGATGGTAATCAACTCAGCACACATAAGATTATTTGGGGGGAGAGTAAGCAAAAAGAAAAGTACAAGAGTAATACATTCTTTAGCAGATATGGACAATACACAGAGACTACAGAGTGAAACACACATTTTGGAAAATCAGAGGAAACATTAGAAACGAAATAAAATATTGAGAGGCCTTAGGACATGGGATGATTCTTGTTCCTATCTCCCTTCTATTATATCTGTTTACCAAATTTCTTTGTTTTCTGCATCATGTCCATACTCTCCAAGACACATGTGTTGTTTTCTTTGTAGGTATGATATCATGAATCTGCAGTACACAGAAGCTAATCGCTATGACTACGTACATGTTGGAACCTGGCACGAAGGCGTGTTGAACATCGATGATTACAAAATCCAAATGAACAAGAGTGGAGTGGTACGGTCTGTGTGCAGTGAGCCTTGCTTAAAGGGTCAGATTAAGGTAAGCCGGCCACAGATGCATTCTTGGACAGGAGGAGGCCACCTGCATGGGCCTATGTAAAGAAAAACAGACATTTTTCTTAGACAAGACTGTCCAGAAAGGGTGTGCCAAGCTTTCTGTTTTTGTTCTTGTGTTTAGCTAAAATTGGAAAAACAAAGGAAGATTAGGAAATGAAATAGGCAAACCATTCGAATATTTAAGAATAGTCCTTATTTGAATCGCAATGATGAGCCGGAATCTTCAATCCAATATAGAAAGCAAGGGGACAAATACTTGAATTAAAAATTGAAACAGAAGTAAATGTGGAAACCAAAACCAATGATACTGCTTAGTCAGAGTTGTAGCTACTGTTAAAGAAAGCAGAAGCTGAACAGTACAAAATAAGCACATAATGAACATAAAAGAAATTGAAATGTGCTAACACAGAAGCTGCTTATCATTTCTCTTTTGACCACCACATTCTTTGATTTTCCTGAAATTGGCATTTTGTAGCCAAGAGGGAGTCCTCACTTCCTAATTATTCTTAGAAGCTTTTTTTTATCAGCCTGGAGCAAGTGAGTAACCACAGTATTGCTGTATGCATAACAGAGTAAATAAACATCAAATATTGAGCCTTTGGCTGGGCCAGCTGGAGAGAATTCTCAGTGAAGAAGGCATGGGAACAGCGCTCCCTGGATCCATGCTATTTAAAACCAAACACTATGGTGCACTAGGAAATGGAGCATGGGGCAGTGATGGCCAACTGGCAGGAGGATGGATTAAATGACCTGCTAGGTCTCTCCCCTCTCTAATTTGCTGTGATTCAGCTCCGGGAACAGACAGGCTGTCACGTAAATGTCACACGGCACAGCTGGGCTGGAGTAGACGCCGTGGGAGGCCCGGCCCCTCTGGCCACGCCGCCCCACCACCTGCCCTTCCTGGGAGCTGTGCACCACCCCTGCAGGGAGAAGCCCTGACAGGTACACTGAGGGGTGTGGGAGTGTGTGGAAGTGCTGCTGCAGAAACTGGAAGAGCCTCAACTCTACTGGTCAGTGAAGGCAGAGGATTTGGAAACCGCAACATCTTTTGAAGAGCTGTCGTGATGGACTCAAACTCTCAGTGATACCGGCCACTTTGAGGAAGCAACAGACTTCTGAGACAATTCATCCCAGTTTGTTTGATTGAAGGGCTGACTGATTGCATTTTATTTTTTTTATTAGAGTATAGTTGACACACAAGGTTACATTTGTTTTATTCACCCTAGTTTTAAATATCTTGTGCCTTCTATGGAGATGTGATATTAAAAGTACATAATAATTGTCATGACAACTAACCAATCAGACTGGACTCCTTCCTGGTGCTGTGACAGGGTGCTGGAGGCCTCCTGCCAAGCCCAGGGTTAGTCCTTGGATCTTGGGAAGATATGGGCGAGGAGTCCTGTAAGGCTGGAGTAGCGTGGGGCATTCAGGAGGCTCGAAGAGACCATGAGTTTCTACTCTGCACGGAAGTGTTTCAGCAGTGTAAGCATGGCTGCAACCACACCAGTGTGTATGGGCTCCACCCCAGGAATTCCATTTCTGATTCTTGTCCTGATGAAATTCTATCATGTCTGGTGGTTTAAAATCCAGAGGCCCATAGCTTCTTGAATATTTCCACGAGATGCCAGACCACTGGATTCTATGTTTGTCATCCTTTCTGAATGGTGGGGAAATAGGACATCTGAGACGGAGGTCATACCATCGGGACAAAAGAGAAGCCCTGAGCTCATGGACTTCTGTGACTCAAAGAGTATCACATGTCTGGCTCAAGCCTTTCCAGCTTGTGTGGTAGCATTGTCTACACCACACACAACCACTGTAAAACAGTTTATAGAACTACAAAGTTGGGTTTTTCAAGAGTATAAGAAAAACCAACCAACCAACCCTGGCAAGAGAAAACAAATCGTTCTAAAGATTCTCTGAACTCCAGCCCCCTTTCACAATTCCCTGCTATCCCTGTGATTGCTGGCAGGCCATGGATGGGGACTCACATACCATGTGGATTCTGCTTTGTACATTCCAGAAGAAAGGCCTTTCCTCCCCGAGTTCAGAAGAAAGGCTGTCTGCATACATCTCTATGCCTACATACTGAAGTATTTCTGGCAACACGTTTGCATTACGCCCATGCAGTGTTTGTTATTGAAGGAGATCCCAGAAATCATCGCAGAGCCATTACAGAGCACTCACTATAAATGCAAATCTTTTGGGGTCTAATTTTAGAACTGTTTTGTACCCTGCAGGAGGAAAATATGCCTGTTCTCAATGGCACCTGGAGTGGAGGTTGGGGTGGTGGTGGAATGTTTGTTTGTTTCCCATAAGCACCAAGGGAGGTCTGGAAACAAATGAAATCTGAATCCCATTTACCAAATGATAGCACTTATATTCTTACACCACCAATTTGCCACCTACCAGGCCCAGGACGCAGAGAGCTGGATCCCTCAGTAGCCACTACAAAAACAGAAGAGAGGCAACAACGAGCAAGGTGATTGTAGGACTTGCACTTGCATTAACTGGGAAATACACTGTTTAGAAAAGGAGTACTCATTTTAAATATCAAATGCCATTTAAAGTGCTAAAATTAATGATTTGACTCTTTTTGTGATAACCCACAGAACTCTCTTATGGTAATTTCCCTCAAAGTAGTTAAAAGTCCAGTTTTCTTATGTTACTGATTTTTAGAAATATAAATATAATATCTTATAATATCTTACAGAAACAGAAATTTATTTTAACCATTCCATAAACATAGTTAAATAAAATCAAACTTTTTATGGTTGTGTGTTATATTAGTCAGGGTTCAGACAGGAAAAAACGAACCCTGGCCAGGTTGTTTGATAGAGGGAATTTAATATAAGAAATTGGTTATATAAGTGAAAGAGGATGCCCAGGGCACCTCAGAGGTGACCAACAGCAAGAATCATCCTCACCCCAGGCCAGAGGGACACAAGGAGGAGTCACAGCTACTTCTGAGATGACCCCTGGAGCGGGCCCGAGAGGATACCATGGCTTCTCCTCTGTCCTTCCCTTCAGTCTCCCATTAGGTCCTTGTGTTTTGCCAACACCATCCAGAAGACATTGGCAAAAAAGCCTGGACAATGTAGTTCACAGGTTTCCTGGAAACCTTTAAACTAAGCAAGGCTTAAGGGCTAGTGCATTATGGGAAATCTCAGAGCTGCAAGAGTGAAGGGGAAGGGGAAAGGAGCCATGGAAGCATGGAAAAATGCCAGCACCACCATCATCACTGAGGTAATGCTTTACTGAGCCAGACGCTACTTCATTGACTACAACTAGTCGTTCAGCCTCACAGAGGTCTCTGGACAGGCCGCTCGCACTGTCTCCTGGAGCAAGGAGGGGAGAGGGATGTGACCTGTGCCATGCCATTTTCTGCTACTGTGGTCAAAGTTTGCTCACAGGAAGTAACACCACCTGATCCCTTTAGGCAGCTACTGGGGAAGCTAGAATCTGTGTCCCGTTCCATGGTCCTTTTTCAGATTAGAAGCGGTTGGAGGACCAAAGCCTCTGAAGATCCCCTGCAGTCTGGTCTGGCCTTCTGTTGTGCTGGGTACAATGGAGCCGTTCTGAAACCCAGTGATGGAGTCACGGGAGAGACAGACAGGCGGAGGTGCCAGAAAGGAAGCAAGAGTGATAGAGGCTGAGGTAGGGGTTGCAGAAGATTCCAGGACTTCCCAAAAGCCAGTGGCCAAGGGCCTAAGAGACAGGCTTGAGGAGAGGATCTGAGGCAGCACACAACGTGTGGACAATGGATCTGTGAGCAAACACCAAGGGCCTGGCATGTGCGGTGGTCTCCTGTACCAAGCGGGCAGCGATTTTTCTTGGTGTGGTGAAGGGCAGGAAAGAGCCGAGAAGGGGCAGGAAGGTGAAGGGGGGCAGTAAAAGGAAGGAGAAGGGAGACAGTAGAGATCAGAGATGAATGTTTATCAAGCATATTCTTGTGCAAGTACAATAATAGGTGCATTACAGTCACCATTTTATTTTTTATTTTTTTAAAGATTTTATTTATTTATTTGAGACAGAGAGAATGAGAGACAGAGAGCATGAGAGGGAGGAGGGTCAGAGGGAGAA